TATATATATATATATATATATATATATATATATATATATATATATATATATATATATATATATATATATATATATATATATATATATATATATATATATATATATATATATATATATATATATATATATATATAAACACTGAAGCAAAAAAATTGTTCAGAAGGCTCGATTTTTCACAGTCATCAGTACAAAGGGAACCGTCGGGTCTTACAAGTGGCGCAACAGAACTTAAACAGTTAATTTTTAAAATATATATATATATATATATATATATATATATATATATATATATATATATATATATATATATATATATATATATATATATATATATATATATATATATATCGAAACGTCGTGAACTATCTAGTATTCACAATTTCTATAAAGCTGACTATATTTCGATTAATAACGACTTACTTAACGTAAACTGGTATATGTTGGCCAAACAAAACCCAGACGTTGAATCATTCTGGCAAGCTATTTGTAAAGTCCTGAGTGTATCTATTGCTTCTCACGTTCCTTCATTATGCAATAAAAAAAAAGCTCGTTCAACCCCTTGCTATGCGTAAATTAGCGTCCAAAAAACGTACTCTGTACAGATTTATAAGTAAAAAAAAACGTACTCTGTACAAACTTAGAACTCATAAACTTTCTGTTCTTATCAACTACAAGAATTGTTCACGTTTATACGATGCTGAAATCACAAAAAACTGTATTGCTCGAAAAAATTACATAGTAGACAACTCCAATTTAACCCAATTTTATTCTTACGTCATTTCAAAAATTAACTGTTTAACTTCTGTTGCGCCACTTGTAAGACCCGACGGTTTCCTTTGTACTGATGACTGTGAAAAATCGAGCCTTCTGAACAAATTTTTAGCTTCAGTGTTTGTCTCTGACAACGGTACAAAACCTGTGCTAGGCCTACCATTCCACGATAATTCTTTGAATAATGTCCTATTTTCTTATGACTCTGTTCTATCAGCTTTTCAAAAATTTCCACCATAGTCATCATAATCACCAGATGGGTATCCTGCCTTATTCCTGAAATCGATTGCTAATATTATTGCCATCCCGTTCTCTCTCCTTTTGAAGTTGTCAATGTTAACCGGTGTAATTCCGAATATTTGAAAAACCGTATATGTATGTCAGATTTTCAAGAAAAGAAACCCCTCCTTATCTACGAACTACAGACCTATTTCAATGACTTGTATTAGTTGCAAAATTATGGAGTCAATTATTAATAATAGTTTAAAAAGGTACCTTCAACTTAATAACTTTATCTCTATTCACCAATTTGGGTTCTTAAAGCGTAGATCTACATGTACACAGATGTTAGCTTCTCTTAATGAATGGACCTCAGCTTTTAATAAGAAAAAGGAAGTTGATATTATCTATATCGACTTTGAAAAGGCATTGACTCTGTATTGCATTCTAAGTTAGCGTACAAACTGAATTGTTACGGCATTAAGTGCGAGCTTCTAAATTAGATTACCAACTTTTTAACTGACAGATCCCAATGTGTTTGCATTGGTAATTCTTACTCAAACTACGTACCAGTAAAAAGTGGAATACCCCAAGGAACTGTGTTGGCTCCTACTTTATTCTTGTTATTTATTAATGATGTAGTTTCTTGTATTGAAGGTGATTGTCAAATAAAGCTGTTTGCTGACGATAGCAAATTGTACTAAACGAGAGACGAAAATAACAATGCTGACCTTAAATTATCATTAAAAAAGTTCTCTGATTGGACAGCTTACTGGCAACAAAAAATAGCATTCAAAAAATGTTTCCACTTATGTTTTGGAAGTAAGTTTTTGACTGTTCATTCAAATTCGTTTTGCCTGGACACCCCGATAACGACTGTTAACTGTATTGAAGATATTGGTATTACGGTATCTTCTGACACAAAATTTTCCAAACACTGTTCTCGTATTGCCAAAAAAGCTTACGCCCGTCTATATTTACTTTTCAAAACCTTTATCAGTAATGATTCAAATCTCCTCTTAAAAGCCTACAAGGTCTATGTGCGTCCAATCTTAGAGTCTTGCACCCCAGTGTGGAGTCCTTACCTTCTTAAAGATATACGTTGCATCGAAAACGTCTAATGATACTTCAGCAGAATTACCTGTAAAAGATGACATATTTCTTACACTGATTACGCATCAAGACTATCTGTTTTAAAACTCGATTCTCTTGAACACCACAGAGTCAAATTCGATCTTTTTATGACCTACAAAATTATAAACAATCTTGCCGGCCTTCCTTTTTCCGATTTCTTTACATTTTCCAATTCTCATTACCCCACTAGAAGTCATGCGAAAAAATTAGTTTCACGCAATAAATATACACGTAGATTTTTTTTCAGTGAAAGAATTGTAAAAATATGGAATTGATTGCCAGCTCACATTGTCAATTCATCTTCATTATTCATATTCAAAAAAAAACTACAAACTTACGACTTACAACAAAGTTGCGTATTGTATTAAATTGCCTTTGTTCAGGTGTTACATAAGCGTAATCTTGTGATTACCTGTCTCACCCGTTTGTATTTTAATGTATTTTTTTTAATCCAAATAAATATTTTTATTATAATATATATATATATATATATATATATATATATATATATATATATATATATATATATATATATATATATATATATATATATATATATATATATATATATATATATATATATATATATATATATATAACCCTCGGAATTAGGAAAAATGAGGTTGGCAAATTATTGCTGACCTAAAGCACTTTCAGGTGTGTGATAGATACATATATGTTTATATAGATATTATACTTATGCAGATATACATATACATACTTATCTATGTATTATGTATTATATACAAGGTCATGTGGTTCCCAATATTTTTTTTTTTTTAGAAATTGTTTTTAGTTTTTATAGAATTATACATTCAATTTTTCACAGAATAGATTATTAAAAGACTAAGAAAAGGAATTTTAATTATAATCTAATTTCAATTTTAAATATTTTGTTTATTACTTGTATACAGAGCGATTCTACAAATAAAATATAAAAAGGAGGGGGGGGGGAGGGCGAAGGTGAATCCTTAAAAAGTACTAGACTCGCTTCTAAGGGGGAAAAAAAAAAGGTTTCATAACTAAAATTTACCCGGCTGAATTGTGTCAAATACTTGACTAATCGACTAAATTTGTATAAAAACCGACTATAACTTTAAAATCACCTTTTTTTTTTTAGATTTAATTCCAAAATTATATAATGCAAAAATACTTTTTTTTTTTTTTAATCAAGTAGAGGTTCATCAAGGAGAACACCTATGATCAGCTCAAACAATTAGCAAGAAGAATTTCAAAACTATAAACACATTATATTAAAATATGTTTTATTGTGATTATATATATTTTTTTAAATTGAGATCTCTTTTTTTCTTTGTAACAACAGGCTAAATAAAATAATTTACCTTCATACAGATTTCAGTATAAACCGACAGAGAAAGTAGACAATATTAAAGAAAAAACAAATAAATAGTTGTAAATGTAAATTTTATTTATTTATTCAATTATAAAATGATTAGGTTTTATATATCTATTACAATATTAGAATTTTTAAATCAAGTAAAAATTGTCAATTTATTGCAAATTTAGCATAAAATGTTTTATTTTTACGAAAAATAAAAAATTGAGTCCACTTAACTAAACTAACTACAAAAAAGATTAAAATCTTAATTAATTGAAACAAATTTTTTTTTAAATTTTATCGCTTAAATAATAAACAAAAGTATTTTTAAAGTTGTAAACAAATCACAAAAAAGTCACTTTTTTGTGTTTATATTTTTCTCATAATGAAACTTTTCTTATTATGTTTGAAATAATAATTTACGTAACTAATCTACCTATAAACTTAACTTGATATTTTTATCCAAATACCTATATCTTGGTATCACAAGATAGGTGCAATAATGGGCTACAAGTTCATTTTAGTGCCTGGATGTAGGGTGTATCTTGAGAGCCAGAGAGGGAATGAAACATCATCTAACCCTTAAGAAAATTAAGTTTTTGCACTTTTAAGCTCTTTTTAAATGTAATTGTTGTAAATGTAATAAGCACTTTTTAAATGTAATTGTTATATTTTATACACAAAATATTGCCATAACTTGATTCCAAAACACTGCCAAACAAAATAAGGTGATCTTAGAACATCTGATTTTCCTTTTATAGTACTCGAAGAGATAACAAAACACAAAAGTATTTAACAGATTATATAAATAGGAATAAAAGGAACTCAATAATCAATCAGAGACATTCCAGATTCATAAATTTACTGTTTGAAGGTGGTCCAGATGGAACTAAAAATAAAATTTGTTTTAATAAAAAATACAAATCGCAAATGGTAATAAATGCATTCATAGTCTAAAAAGTAATAATTTTTAAACTTACTTGACGTGACAGCTGAAGATGTAACTATATAAAAAAAGGTTTTAATTAAAAACCAGTTGATAAGAAATGTAATTGCAAAAAAGAATATGCAATTGATAAGAAATGCATACACATGTTAAAAGAAAAAAGGTTTTGAAACTTACCAGGCGTAGCACACGTAGAAAGAACTTAAGGTAAAAAATATATTATAAAAATCAATATTGCAATCAATGAAAAATTTGTGCGCATTAAAAAGAGTTGTTTAACTTACCAGGTGTAGCACAAGAGGTAGATATTAAAATTACGAAGTTGTAACAAAAAATCAATATTGTAAATAATGAGAAATGCATACACATTAAATATAATAGTTTTTTAAATTACTAGTTGCAGCACATGACTGAGGAACTAAAGTTAAACATATTGTAAAGTTTGCACATTAAAAAGTATGAGTTGTTTAACTTACCAGGTGTAGCACATGAGGTAGATACTAAAATTAAAAAATTAATATTGCAGCAAATGGGAAATCCATGCACGACAAGTAATAATTAAATAAGTAAGAAATACATATATTTATTTATATTTCTTTAATGGTTAATAAAAGTTATGCTATAATAACTTACCAGCTGTAGTCTGTGCATATTGGACTAAAGATAACAAAAAAAATTGTATAATCAAAAAAAAAACATCTTAAAATTGTCAACAGTCAATAAAAATAATAGTTATTAAATCAGTTCTGCTTTTCGTACAACAACTTTATTAACAAAAAAAAGGTATGAAAAAATAATAAAAAGCATAAATTATATTACTGTATATTAGAAAAACACTAACAAGATGTTTTTATAAGAATAAACTTATTATTGTAAAAGTATCTTGATATTTAAAAAAAAATAAGCTTATTATTATAAAAATATTTTGTCAAAAACGTTATTGGCTTAAGCCAATAACGTTTTACTTTAAAGTGTAATAATGTTGTTTGTATATTTTTATATATATGGTGTATTAACAACATTAACATCTGATACTATTAGTTAATAAAATATTCCAAAGTAACGGTTTAATCTTAAATCCTAATCTTTTTTAGTATATACCATCATTGGTATAAGTTTAAAAAACCTTACCCTTTCTTTACATGCTATGTAAACAAAGATTAAGGTTTTTATACTTATCATTATTGTTTTGTTTTTTAAAAAAGTTATTATTATCATGAAACATATTAACATATTTACATATTAACTTACTTTTTGAAGTCTTCTTTTCCTTAACTTTTACCATTTTTATTCGAATTTTAATCTAATATTAAAAATTAAAATAATACAATGTAGCAATAATTTTTTTGTTTACATTCCGCTTCCTATCCTCCCTCGTATTTCTCTTACGATAAAACGAAAACAAGAAATACCGAATTTAGGTACCAAAAGTCCTACACTTCGTTAACTATCTGCTCCCAATTATTTTTTGAAGAAATTTGGCATGTGCAAAGAAAATGCATGTAAAAAATTGCCTGAATAACAAAAAAAGCGGACACGATATTCCTTCGACATCAAATTAATGTGAGAACATCAACGAAATTTTCATGAAAGTTTTCAGCAAAATTAACCATAAAAAAATTTAGTGATTATACATAAAAGTACTATAAAAATAAAGCCTAACCTTTCTTCTTTCCAAATATAACTTTTGTTTATACATGTTTCTAAAAAGAAACACCACAAAAAACGTTTGTCTAACCTGACCTAAAAAAAGCAGTATAATTAATAAAGCACCTTGTAACATACCTGTTACCAATTATTTTTCGTTGAAATTTGGCACATAAATAGAAAATGCATGTAAAAAATTGCCTGAATAACAATAAAAGCGGACACGACATGAGTTCGACTACAAATTCATGTGAAAACATCAACCAAATATCAGGAGCAAAATAATCTGTTAAAATGTTTAGTAATCATACATAAAAGTTTTTAAAAAGTAAAGATTAGCTTCTCTTCTTTCCAAAAAGTATCTATGTGTATATATGTTTCTAAAAAGAAACTCCACAAAACTACGTTTAACCCACGCTGCCTAAAAAGAAGTGAAAAAAGGGAGTCACAATATTTTACCACAAAAATCGGTTCTGTAAATCACGATATGCGCGTAGCTATATATATATATATATATATATATATATATATATATATATATATATATATATATATATATATATATATATATATATATATATATATATATATATATATATATATATATATATATATATATATATATATATATATATATATATATATATATATATATATATATATATATATATATATATATATATATATATGTATATATATATATATATATATATATATATGCATATATATATATATATATATATATATATATATATTTGCATGTATATATATGCATATATATATATGCATTCATATATACTGGAGGCAAAAAATTCAAGGCTTACATTCTTAAATCTTTTTTTAATATTTAATAGTGATTCTTTATATACTTCAATCTACAAGTTCCATTTGCTCAAAATGAAACTTTAATTTGTAAAATAGATGAAACAGTTATGTCGTTAACTACATTTAACGTGTTGCGTTAGTGCACTAATGCAGCAGCCAGTAGGTTAGTGCGTTAGTGTACTAACGCAGCAGCCGGTAGGTTTCTTGTTATTGTATATATAGAGGAGTGCAAAGTCACTCTCGCCCTCTTACGGCCTTTACGTCTCTTACGTTTCCCTTTTTCCTTCCGAGCTGTATGTTGAGCACTTGGCGTGATCCAAGTTTGTAAATGTATATAAAAGCGTATCGTCATGAAATATATATCAATGTATTCTTATCTATTTGATTTATTGTTTGATTCCCTTCTAAACTCTTTAAACGACACACTGTTTCATTTATCAAAACATTAAAAAATTGAAATTGGTGACGAACGTTTTTTTAAATATAATTACACCATAAAAGAAAACTTTTGACCAAATTGATAAATTTTTTTTAACAGAACTATCCAAGTTGAAAAATCCTAGGCCTGATCAACATTAGTAAATTCCTGAATTTTCTGATTCTGTATAAGCATAAGCATTATTGTATTTCTAGAACGGAATCAAAATGAACAGCTAACTTTAAACACTACATGATGTTTTTTATCTTAGGTTAAGGCTAGATTAAAATAAGGAAAAAAAATACTGGTAAAGATCGAACAATCTAAATGTTTAACTTTTTATGAATTTTTCTGCTTCTAATTTTTTTTTGTCACTGTTTTATTAGACAGGTTTTTTGATTTAAATTATTTGCTTTTTATATCAAATGGGCATCGTGGTTTATTCCAGATGGTAAAAAGTTTATCAATGACTCTGCGTGTTTTTTCAGAAATCATAAATTTTTTTTTTCATCTTTGTAATAAGCTACTCGTTACAAAGATGAAAGTTATTTACAAAATTTTTATGGTTTATACTTTACATAAGTTACATTTTTAATAAGTTTATATTTTATATAAGTTTTCAGTATGCAGACACCTTTAAGAAAGTAAATTTTATTAAAAATAACTTTCTCAAATCTATCTCTTTACATACTGAAAACTTTTTGGAGACACCGTATTGTTTATAAAACATTAATATATTTTTTCCATTTATTGCAAAACAATATTGAACTTGTATTACAAAGGTAAAAAACTAAATGCAAAAATATACATTCTTAGTGATCTCCCGAAACCAAAGTTTTGGGTACTCTAGTTCGGTGCCGAAATCGAAATCGACTTTTTGGCAAGCATTATGCCAAAACCGATACTAGATTTTGGCTAGTCAAAATTAATTTTATTAGAAAGTTTTATTGACAAATGCAATTTTATATTTGCTGTTTTTTTTATACGGGTATTATGTTAGAATTGATTACACGTGTTTTACAAATTGAGATTTAATACATAAGTTGGCGATATTAAGCACTGGCGTTACCGCTTTAGCGGTTAGAAGGAAAACGACTTTTTTCGATATGCAATAAAAAATTGCATTAAATCGTACTCACCTTTTCCATAAAAGTTAACTCACAATAAACCGCCTAACGATTCATTCCATAAGAATGACAGCATCGCCATTACCTAACAAAATATCGAATTTGTAACTAAGCGCCCCCGATTTCTTATCTAATTATCGCAATTTACCGCATTGCCGAAATTTATTGAATTGCAGTAACGCTGATGCTTTGGCCAAGGAGGTTTAATAAACCAAGCCTTTAGGAGGTTTAATAAACCTCCTTGGCTTAGGCGACAAAAGTTAATAATGAAAGTTAACAACTGGCTTCGATTTTCTCTGTAAAACAAGAATTTTTCGAGGTATTTTGTGAAAATTCTCAAAACTTTAATGCAATCTCTCAAAATATTTTGAAAGTTCTCAAAAATAATTATTTTTCTAAATTAGATAAAAATTTAAAATTTTACAAGTTTTTTGGTTTTTATCTTAAATTATTTGCTCTATAAATATTTTTTGGATTAGGAAGTTATATTTGCAATATTTTAATTAAACTACTCGTCTGTTGCCAAAATTAAATGGTTATTGAGGTTATATTCATCCGAATTGCAATAAAACTTTTTAGTATAACAACCATGTTTTTTAATTAGAAATTTATTTCTGAGCAATAAATAAAGAAACGGCATAAATTTGAAAACCACCAAATCAAAATATATAATAATCCGACAGTTTAAATTTTTTATTGCATTTAAAATATAGTAAAGTTTTTCATAAAATATTTTGAGATTTATACGTAGGGGCTAATTGGAAACCATATTGGGGTTATTTGGAAATTTTAAAAAGCCTAAATACTATCTTTTAGTTGTGAAAGTAAAATTTATGATTTGTATTTGTGTTTGTGTGTATATATATATATATATATATATATATATATATATATATATATATATATATATATATATATATATATATATATATATATATATATATATATATATATATATATATATATATATATATATATATATATATATATATATATATATATATATATATATATAATATATATACACACTATATTTAATTTAGCATATAATAAATGGTAGGAGAATATAAAAGAAGCAACAGATGTGTCAGGAATGGAAAAGTTTACAAAGCATACAACAGTTATAATAAAGAGGATCTTGAAAAGGCTGTTTATTTAGTGCAAAGCAAAACACTTACTTTTTCTAAAGCTTCAAACAAATATAAAATTCCAATTACCACTTTGAGTAGAAAGTATAAAATGAAAAATGGTCATAAAACTGCAGATCGACCAAAGATGTTTAGTGATGAGGAGAAAAAAAGTTTTGTTTACAACCTAAAAATTACCAGTGAGTAGGAATTTCCATTTGATTTATTATATTAGAAAATTATGGCTCAACCATATTAAATAATGTTCCTTGTGTTAATGCCGATGTTGGGCCGAGCTCAGCTACTGACATCGAACCGACGGCGTTTTTGTCCATACGGACCGAGGTCGGCCCAACATCGGCTGGCTGCTCAAACTGTCGCGATGCATCAGCTGGCTGATATTGAGCCAACGTGATTCTAATCAAATCATTGGCTGGCCGATCTTGGCCCGATGCGATTCCGTATGGACAAAATCAATGGTGGTCCGATGTGTCAATTTGGTTCTGTTTTATATTTTCATAATTCATTATATAAAAAAAACCCAAATAATAAACTTTTCTATCAAGTTTTAAAAATGGCAGCAAATCTATTTATCTGAAAGGCAAAGAACTAATTCTGAATTATCAAAATTTTTAGAAACGAATTAACTTTCCTAATGCATAGGAAAGTTTATTTGTTTACCTGTTAAATTAATATTATTTAGTAATATTAATAGGTATTTATAAATAATAACTTTATTTTTTATTTACAAATAATTATTTGAATATTATTTGAATATTTATAAAAATTTATAAATCATTAAAGATTAAGATATAAAAATATTAGATAATAATATCAATATACTAGGTAAACAGTAAATTGTTTTAATAACAGTTAAAAAATATTTAAACTGTAAGCATACAGTTTCCCAGTGGGCACCGGACCAATAAAAGACATCTTTTGAACGTTCAAAAGACGTCCAAAACGGTTGTGATTTATGTTTGATCAAAAATTTATTCACTATTAAGTTAAACATGAAATGATATTATTTAGTTCATTAACTCAAAACCTTTCAAATAAGTAAGCAATGATAACTTAACGATTGATTTGATAACCTCATTAAATTTTAAAGATTGAACATAAATTGTGAACATCGTTCAGATAGTAATGTTAAAGATAGAAAAGTTGAATTCAATACAGGGTAAGGTAGAAATATTTTTATATACTGGTAACATTAGTTTTAAGCAAAATAAGTTTAACTATTTTTTTATCATGTCATTTCGAATATTTGCCTTGTTTATTTATATTGACAATATAAATAAATAAGGCAAAAATTCGTAAATAGATTAAATGAAATTAATTTTTCGACATTAAAAAATAGAAGGTCTATAGCCAATATAGTGTAATTATACAGGTTTATGAATAACTTAGATGTAATTAATTGGTACAATCCTCCTACATTTATAAAAAATTCAATTACAAGAGGGCTCAATAAAAGAATATGTAGACAACAAAGTAAAAAAAAACCTTCGACATAATTTTTTTATAAATAAAATAGTGGACAAAATGAATTAAAATTATTAAACTTACAATATTATTAAACCTTTTAAACTGTGAATACCAGTTGTTCTTTGTTGGACCTGTTCGATCATATTGATATGTTTTTGTAAATGTGGGTTCCATAATGGTGATCCATATTCAAGACGAGGTCTGACTAATGAAGTAAATATTAATCTTATATTTCTTTTATCTAAATATTTAAGAGTGTATTATTAGGCCTAATTTTTGGTAAGTCTTAATGACTGTATAGTTCATGTGGTAATTCCAGTTAAAGTTATTTGATACATATATGCCAAGATCTTTTTCTAAAATTGTTTTTCTTAGTTTAATGGCATTCATTTTATTTTTGGAATTGTTAAGCATCAGGTACTCATTTTAGGATTATTTTTTCCAATATGCACAACCTTGCACTTGTCATAATTAAATTTTATCAATTAGTTTTTTGTCCATTGTACAATTTTATTTAGATCTTCTTGTAAATTTTCTGTACTGCTGTTATGATCTAGTATAGATATTAATTTTGTATCATCTGCATACAGTTTACATTCATTTTTTATATTTAACATCATATCATTTATATATAAAATAAATACTGATATAAAAAATAATACTGATCCCTGAAGAATTCCACTTATAACATTTGTCCATTCAGAAATATTTTCTCCAAGTACAACTCGTGGTAACCGATTTTTTAGAAAAGCTTTGCACCAGTTTAACAGATCACCAATAATACCATAACTAGCTAATTTTATGCACAATCTTTCATGTGGCACAATATCAAAAGCTTTAGCAAAATCTAGAAATATAATTTCAACTGGAATATTATTGTCAAATGCTTTACTGACAATATCTAATGTTTCTAGTAAATTTGTACAACATTTTTTTTTATTCATAAAACCATGTTGGTGCACTGAGATTAAATTACTATTGTTAAGATATTTCATTATTTTATCTCTGACAATACTATCCATAACTATGCATACAACTAATGTTAATGAAATTGGTCTGTACTCGGTGTAGTTAAGGTGATTTACAAAATATTCAAATACTTTTATTTGGAATTAGCATAGTTTTGTCAGCATATTATGTCCAAACGAGATCTTTAAATGTTATAGTTTTTTTTGCTTAAGGTTTTTATAATATTTAAAGAAACTTTCCTTTTTTTTTATATAATTTTCAAAACCTTTTTACTACCCATAATAGTGAATCTAAAGAACACTATTTTGGAGTCTTTAGATCAATTCAGTTCATCGGCATTAACATGAATTTAGTTAAAATCTTTTGAAAAAGTTCCTTAATTTACTACTGATCTTAGTTCTAATCGGTTCTGATGTATATTAACTATATATAGTTGTCAAAACACAATATTTCTATCAATTTTCACAAAAAGTACTAAAATTCCGACCAAGAATAAGCCTATAATTATAAAAAATTGCTAATAAACGATCAGAACAGATCATTTTGTTAAATTATAATGTTCATTTCACCTAAAAAACGTATTAATATAAAATTTATTCAAATTTGGATGAGCGATTGTGATTGTAAGATGATTTTGTTTTTTTAAAAAAGAACCTTCAGTCTGGGTTTTTTTGCTACAAACATTTGTATTTTATGATACGGCAAATTTTTCATAAATTGTTAAGAATCTTAATTAGCTTCCATCAACACTTAAGGTTTCAAACTCTTTTTCCCAGTTATAATTATTAAAGTATTTATTTAACTCTTTATATTTACCTTTGTTGAACTATTTTGTTTAATAGTCTTTGTTATTGGTAAAACCTTGGAATTTATATATATATATATATATATATATATATATATATATATATATATATATATATATATATATATATATATATATATATATATATTATTTAATAATACTATTATTATTAATAATTATTATAATAAACTTACTTGGGCTTTTAGATCAAGATATGCATTACCAAAATCTACAGCCCCTGAAAATTATATATCAATAAAAATATGAATATAATATAGATAATATTGGCATAGCAACAGTATAACACCTCCATTATAAGAGTTTTCTTTCAAAGAGCACTGTGTTAAAAATAGATTCGTGCAAAAAAAAATTATCACCATAACAGGTTATATTTTATCAATAAATAAAGAAGTAACATATTTTGATAAATGTATATATTTTGATAAATGAATATATTTTGATAAATTTTGATATATTTATGATATGTGAATATATATACTATGATAAATGAACATATTTTGATATATTTTGATAAATTTTGATAAATGAATATATTTTGATAAATGATAAACTTATTTTGCTTAAAACTTACGTCACCAGTAAAAAAAAAACTACTTCTACCTTAGCTTGTGTTGAAATAAACTTTTTATAAATTTAACATAATCATACAACAAACTATTGACAAGGAGACATACCTGAAGGAGTTCATCTGTTAACAGTTAAAAGCACTACTTCATTGATTGGCAATGAATCCAAAAATAGTAACACTAAAGAAATGAAAAAAAAAATCCAATAATAAAAAGGAGATATATAAAAATATTTTTAAAAAAATACATGTATAATTTAGGTATGTTACAATTTTCGTTTTAGGTCAGCCGAAATATGCGTAAAAAGTGTTTCTAACTTATTCGCAACGCGTTAAGGCCATTTTCTGTTTTACTTATATTAATATGACTTTTGATGGTTTAAGAAGAAATTTGGACTTTTTTTGTATTCTTTACATTTTAATTTTCTATTTTAGTATAAAATATAATAAAGCTTTTAAATATATATAACACTAAAGTCAAACTAAAAAAGTTGATCAAAAAGGCAAACAAAGTTATTTTTGAAGTATGGGTTTTTTCTTTATAAATTTTAAAAACTCAACAAGACGAACTATTTTTCTTTTTATTTGGAAAATTTAAAGAAATTTTATCGTTACCATCATATATTAATACCTTACACAGTTTTGGTTGTAGAATCTTTTTTTTTTTTTGAAAAAATTTAATGCTTATTCCGATGTCACGTGACGATAAAATTGTCTTATAATTTGCTATTCCAATCAGATTGGTATATCAAAATAAATATAATTTGTGGTTTGTAAATAATACTCATTTTAGGGTTGCTGTTAATATGAGTTCAAAGAAAAAAATTCATGTTTCGTTTGTTATAACTGGACTTGCAAAACAGTATTTAATTGACAATTTTACATTAGCCACTGATAAACATGAAGATAAATGCTTAAATGGGCATGTTTTGCTATTGTATATACAGCAATCCAAGTCTAATTTAAAGACTGCCAGAATAATTTATGAAAAGTTTGGTTTTTATCCCACTTATAACCAGATATATAGTTTAGTTATGAAATCCAAAAGACTGTTTCCCCATCTCCAGTCATCTAATAGAAAAAAAATTTGAAGAGTTATGCAAAAAAATCTTTAAATGTAATCAACTATCAACTATGACAAAAAGTAATTTATGTGAATCGGTTACTTTACATTTAGCTCCTGTTGAAAGAGAAATAGGAAAATCTTTTACTTCTGATATTTTTCAAGAAACAATTAAAGAAATGCCTTGTAAAGATACTCTGGGTAGTGAATTGTTGAAAAAGAGATTAAGCTTTATGTATGAAACTAATGCAAAATTGAAATCGAAGCATAAAGAAAAACTAGCTGTTATAAAACTCAGAGTTAGAGCAGATCCTTATGTTATAAAAAGACTAAATCAAACTATTAAAAGAAAAAATTTAACCATTCGATATTTAAAGCAAAAGCTTGCTAAAATTTCTTCTAAAAATTTAATATTATGTGAAAATGAATTTAAAAAGAAAATAAAAATAATCAAGCTTAAGAAAAAAGAACAACAAAATGATTTGAGTAGTACCATTTTGAGTAAAGATAACCAGATAAAAACTCTAGAAGTTGAAAAATTAGATAAGTTGAAGGATTCTGTCATTGATCATTTGCCTTTCAAAAAAGATAGAAAATCGTATACGTGGCAACTACGATTGATGATATATGATGCCATTATTAACCAGGTACCAACAAAAAACATTCCAATTTTATTGCAAAAATTTTTTAATCATTTTGGTTTAGTAAATGCAGAAAGTTTTCCACAACGCAGCACAGTTGAAGAAATTGTTCGTGAGTTAGGTATAATCAGCAACCTTCATGCTGCTGAAGTTGCCATTTCTACACCCAATCTTACTCTTGGGTTTGACGCAACAACCCAAGAAGGAATTCATATAAACTCTGTTCATTTTACAACCAAAACAGAGTGTCATGTTATTGCAATAGATCAGTTGTCAGGTGGGACTGCACATAATTATCAAACTCATATTGTATCTTCAATTGATGAACTTGCATTTTTGTATTCTGATTTCCATAATTGTGACTATCAAGAGAGTCGGACAAATATAATTAAAAATATTTCGAACTCTATGGCTGACCGTGTTGCCGCTAATCATGCAGCTATTCAGCTAATAAATTCTTCATGGGGTAAAGTTTTAAATGAATTAAATTGTCATGTGCATCCTCTAGAGACGATTGCCACTGCATGTAGATCTGCATTAAAATCAATTGAAAAAAATAAAGGAGTGCTGTTTAGCAAAGATTGCATAGCTGGAAATATAGTTTTACAAATGAATAAAATGCGATACAAAAATGGCAAAGGAGATCCTAAAGGTTTTACAATCTTTTTAAATGAGATGAAATTACCCAAAGGACTCATTCCGCGTTACCGAGGAAACAGATTGCATATTTTATTTCATATATGTGGTATATTTATACAGCACTATAATTCCATAATTAAATTTTTAAGCAGCGATGTAGTTTCATGTGGAGGGCTTAAAAGTAGTTTGAAAATAGACTTTATTAACGAAACAGCCAAAAAAGAAATGTGTGTCTTAGGGTTATTGGGTAAGACTTTAACAGGACCATGGATGGCATTATTTTATCAGTCAGGTACAGGAAGTTTAAGTCATATTGAAGGAATAAAAGTAGTGAAAAAATTGTTAAAAAATGTTTATCATGTGAAAAACAACCCTATGTTGTTATTTAATGCAAAAGATTTGTTTGGAAATAGTATTAAAAACGATAAGGTTTTTAAAACAATAGTTTCGGTGTGCACGAAAGACAAAGAAGTTAAACAAATGATTATACTTTGTTTATCAGCTATTATTGATGTTTTAGAAAGACAGTATAAAAGATACTTTAATTTAAATCTATCATTACAACTTATAAAAGAGACACAAACAGCTAGGCTTCATAATATTGATGCAGAGGAAATCATGGGCATGTTCAGTGCAGCTAAACATCGTGCTCCCAACTCTACTTTGTGTTTTTTGTCATCAAAGTTAAGAGAAATAAAAAATAATGTAGTTATAATAATGTATTATATTGAAAAAAAAGATGAAGATGATAAAGAGAAAATTGTTTACTGGGCAGTAAACAAAGCCAGAACAAAGAGAGAGATGAATAAAAAAAAATATTGATGAAATAAAGCTTGAACTGATTTGTAGAAATAAGTTGAAGAAGCAAAAAAAAGAGGATAAAAACCGAAAAATATTGGCTCTTCAAATTCAAAACCTTAAATTTTCAGATATTTTAATAGCATTTCCAGAACTAGAGTCTAATCAATTATCAGACCTCTCAGATATGCTATCAGATACAGTTGTTGGTAGAAACATTTGCCATATATGGTTTAATTCTCAAATGCAGGGAGAAGAAGTTTATTATGGTAAACTTGAAAAAATGAAGTTAAAGAATGGTAAGCAAGCGTATGTTGTAGCATATTGGAAAGATAATGAAACGTATGATAATGATGCTGTGGATTATGACATTTCAAAATTCGAACTTGCTGCCGATATATTATACGGAGACCTTATGTTATCTTGAAAGTGAATTGATGATTTTTTTTTTTAATTGCTGTTTTCATAGTGGCTTATATTTTATATTTATATTTGGGCATATTATATGCTATTTGCATATGTTTAAATACTTTGGTTTTTAATTTGTTTTTTTTTTATATTTTTAAACTTCTTCGAGATTATTTTATAACCATTTTTGTAATATATACAAAAGATCAAAAAGCATCAAGAAATGCTTTATTATATAATAAAGGCATTTTTAGATAAATTTATTTTTTTCTTTTATTAGATACCGGTTTATAATTTTTAGTATTTGTTACTTTGTTTTATATAAAAACATTATTTTGAAAATCCCCCTCCCTCCAACTTGCCTTCCCTCCCCACACACTTTATATTAACCCTCAAGTATGCCCATTTATCTTTGCCCAGAGGCAATTGATATTTTGCAAAAGGCAGTTGATGCTTTCTTTAGATTTGATAACCTTATTGATAACTAATTTATAAAAATTAAATTTGTTGTGTGAATACTTAAACACCCTCTCTGTACCCACTATGTGCTCCCATCACCACCACCCAACATGAATATCTTTTTCAACCACTGTTACTCAAGGTATATTTGTAGCTTTTCTTAGCTTTCAATTGATACCAAATTTAATCAAATTGGATGATTTTTATTGCAGTTATGATTAATTTAAGTTGTTAATTGCAAATTAACGGTCACAACTTTTTGCAAAAATCCCTATAAAAATTTTATGTTTAAAAAACTCATAACTTCCTTAAATGACATCGAAAAACTTAAAGTGAGGTAATTTTTTTTTAGTTACTAAAAGGTGCTTCTAATGATGTCTTTGAATTTAATATCTCGCTTTTTTGATTTTTTTTGTAACATACCTATATAATTAAGGTTGCATTCCAAATAAATCAAATCCTAACTAAGAAAAACTACTAATGGACCTGAAAAAACCTTTATAGATTTATGAAAAACCAATTCAATAATTCATAAGTTGGTTTTGATTTCTTTGAGATCTATTTCTTTATCTTAAAAAATTATACATATAATTGAACTTATAATAGACACAAATTTCTTTTAATTTTTCTTATAATAAGACACAAATCTCTTACATAATTAGGTAAAAAAATAAACCTCTTAGTAATTAATAATTAATTATGTAAGAGTCTTACATATTTAATTATTTAAGAATAGAAGAAAAGAAAGAAAAAGAAATGTTAGAAAAAACACCACCCCTTGGTAATTTAGAACACATCATGTATTGAATTTTAAATATAGTTTAATGAATAAAGTTACCAATAACAAAGACTATTAAACAAAATATCTGTTCAACAAAGGTAAATATAAAGAGTTAAATAAATACTTTAAAAAAGAAAAAGAGTTTGAAACCTTAAGTGTTGATGAAAGCTATTTAAGATGGTTAACAATTCATGAAAAGGTTGCAAAATGTTAATCCCTCAAATTCAACAAAACAACCAAAGCATTTTAGTTTTGAATAGTTCTGAAACCTCAACAAGTTTAATGTTTGCTGAAACTGCTACTGGTACTATTTTACCTATTTATGTTGTTTATAAATTAGAACATTTGTGGGATATGTAATAAAATATCACATCCGCCTAAAATATTACATCCCCCATAGAAAAAATGAAAACGAGAACGCGCTTTCGAGTCATTGCACTTAGAAGTGTATCAAATACGTCCGAAACATTCAATTATAAACAATATAATTAATAAAAACGTTTTTTTAGTAATATACTATAAATGAAGTTAGCATAAAATGGTAATATATTTTAAATTCTTATTTATAATATTTTGATCGTAATGTATTGTGTGACAATAGCGTAGAAGAAGATTACACATTAGGGATACTTTATGTAATAAAAATAACAATCGTTTGCAATATTTTAGAAGCCTGCATAGGGGGATGTGATATTTTAAGCAAGAATTCTAGTTTCTTTTTGTGACATATACAGAAATAACAAGTGGTGGATGTTATATTCTATATACCAAATACTAATTGTTTAAAATACTTTATAAACTACTTAGGGGGATGTAATATTTTAGAAGTAGACATCGGGGGGATGTTATATTTTAAGTAAGAATTTCAGTTTCTTTTTGTGACATATACAGTGAATAAACCGAGGGGATGTGATATTCTAGATACCAAATACTAATCGTTTGAAATATTGTATGAATTACTTAGGGGGATGTAATATTTTAAAGGTAAACATAGAGGGGATGTGATATTTTAAGTAAGAATTTCAGTTTCTTTTTGTGGTGCATACAGAATTTACAAGTGATAAATCTTATATTTTAAGCACTAAATACTACCATTTGAAATGTTTTATGAATTACTTAGGGGGATGTAATATTTTAGAGATAAACATAGGGGGGATGTGATATTTTAGGTAAAGATTTAAAGTTTCTTTTTGTGACATATACAGTGAATAAACCGAGGAGATGTGATATTCTAGATACCAATTACTAATTGTTTGAAATATTGTATGAATTACTTAGGGGGATGTAATAATTTAAAGGTAAACATAGCGGGGATGTGATATTTTAAATAGCAAATATTAATTGTTTGAAATATTGTATGAAATACTTTAGGGGATGTAATATTTTAAAGGTAAACTTAGAAGGGATGTAATACTTTTAGTAAGAATTTCAGTTTCTTTTTGTGACATATATAGAATTTCAGTTTAAGTAAGAATTTCAGTTTCTTTTTGTGGTACAAACATAATTTACAAGTGTTGAATGTGATATTCAAGATAGCAGTTACTACTTATTTGAAAAATTTTATGAATTACTTAGGGGGATGTAATATTTTAAAGATAAACATAGAGGGCATGTGATATTATAAGAATTTAAGTTTCTTTTTGTGGTATATACAGAACTTTTAAATGAAATATTTTATTATTGTAAAGAAGTACTTTTTTTTTAAATGAAATATTGTAATATTGTAAAGAAGTACTTTGGGAGATGTAATATTTTAAAAGTAGACATCGTTGGGATGTGATATTTTAAGAAAGAATTTCAGTTTCTTTATGTTATTTATACAGAAATTACAAGTGATGGATGTTATAGTCTAGTTACCGAATACTTATTGTTTGAATTATTTTATGAATTACTTAGTGGGATGTAATATTTTAGACGCCTGAATAGGGTGGATGTGTAATTTAAGTAAGAATTTCAGTTTTATTTTGTGACATTTATAGAGAATAAATAGGGGGAATGTGATATTCTAGGTACTAAATACTAATCATTGATTAGTATTTGATACCTAATGAAATATTGTAAAGAATTACTTAGGGGGATGTAATATTTTAAAAGTATACAAAGGGGGGATGTGATATTTTATGTAAAAATTTTAGTTTCTTTATGTGATACACACAGAATTTTTAAGTGAGGAATCTGATATTTAAAACACAAAATACTAATTGTTTAAAATATTGTAAAGAATTCCTTAGTGGGATAATAATAATATTTTAGACGCCTGCATAGGGTTGATGTGTAATTTAAGTAAGATATGTATCTCAAATATTGTTAGCTATTTTTTGTTTCTTGGGTCCTCCTCTGATGGGGAGATCTTTATAATAAATTTATATATTTAATTAAAGAATTAAAAAAAAATTAAAGAACTTTTAATAAAATCAAGAAACTTTAATATTTAAAGTGTTTTTTAGCTTTTTAAAGTTTTAATTTAATATTTTATTTTTTTTAGATACGATTGAGCTAACAATTTAAACATGCGACATTGTTCAACGAAGTCATATATAAAACTTTGGTGGAATTAAAGTTTTCATAAGATTTAAAATGAACGAAATTAATTACAATAATTTTTTACTCTAAATGTATTCATATCTTACAACATAAATATTTTAATGTACAAAACGTTTTGAAGGAAAATAAATAATTACGGTTTGTCTTTTTTCATTCTATTGCATAATTTAAAATTTTTCTCCATTACGTCCACCTATGGTGGCTTAGGCGTAATGTTTTGGGAAGGTTATAACTTCTTTAGATACTTTTTTTGAATAATAGAAACTTCTTTTCTTAATAAAAGAACATTTTAAAGAACTATTTTTAAATATTAACGCTTCTTTGGGTGGCTTGGTATGGAAATATAATGTGATTATTGAGCCTGTTGAGGCGAGTTAATAATATTTAGTCTAGTTCACAATTATTAAAATTATACAAATTTTTAAAAGTGGCAGTTGAAAAATTAACTTATATTTATTACAATAAATTATAAAATCATGTATTTCATGTATTAGAATCATCCAATATCATACTGAACTGAAATGATAAAGAATAATGTACTGTAAAAGACAAAGTACATGAACGGTTTGTTGTATATATATATATATATATATATATATATATATATATATATATATATATATATATATATATATATATATATATTATATATATATTCTATCAAATGTTAACACAACATTTTTGTAAAAATAAAAATTTTGAAAAAAAATACTATTGAGCAAGTATTATTCTTCCACACTAAGAATATTCTGCTTTTGTTAGGTTTTCCTATTTTCTTAATGACACAAATGCTAAAGTGCAGGATTGTTCGAAGAAGATTTCACTAAGAAATAATAATCATCCTTATAATGACAGATTTATAGCGTTGAATTCAACAAGTTTGAAAAAAAAACGAAAGCGTAGTGGCTTAATTTAAATGATTGAATTAGGTAACAAAACTGACTATGTTAATTGTTATAATAAAGATTGATTAAATTTTTATTCAACGAGTCCGGTGCCAACGCGTAGCCATAATAAACATAACAAAAAATCTGCACAAAATTGTCCTTATTTATAATTTTTTTTTTTTTTAAATTTGTTATTTAGGTACCCTAAGAAGTCCTAACGGTCTTGTCACAGAGCACCGCGGAAGTGCATTTAACCAGGAAGTTCACGCCTCCTTCCTTACCATGACGCGAAATATGTCCAAAGCTCGTTTTGAACCTGGATCTCCTGCTTATAAAGCATATGATCTAACCACTGCGCCACGGCCGCACAATATTTGGCATAACTTTTTTGTGAATCAAGAAGCTCGTTTTGATCAGTTTAGAAAATTAAAAGGTTTAAAGAAAGATAAGCGCTAGAAAAAGAATGAGCTAAAACAAAGTGAAGTTATTTTTAAATATATTAGTTGAGGTTGAGAGTTTATGTTCACTTATTTTAGTTTAAAAGACATCTTTGTCAGACACTTGTCTTTGAAAGCCATAGCTATTCAAAGGCGTCTAAATTTTATTACGCCTAATACAGGTCTTTAAACGTCTTTAAAAAACGCTGAGAAGAGAAATGTTTTTTTTTTAATATTGTTACTCTGTAGAAGTTACTGATATACCTGTTACTTCAATGAAGTTTTCATTCTATTTATAAAATATTTTATTTTTTCTTCAAACCTAATATTTGTTTAACTTTCTACAGGTAATACTAATATGAAAACAATTTTTATTGTTTTTTGATTTATACTCGGGTAAAATATTCGTTTTCTTATTTTAATTTATTGTTAAAACATATATTTTTTCATTATTTTATTTTATGGTTATTTTCAAGAGAAGGCAGAGACACCAACAAAAAGCTTTGAAGTTAATGATAGTGAAGGTATGAATTAAAAACTTACTTATTCATTTGCAATTGTTAGCGTTTTATTTTATTTATAATTTATTTTCTAGAGGAGGCAGATAATTATAAAAATCTTTGCAGCTAAAGACAGTGAAGGTATATAATAATAAATCACTTTTACATTTTTTTAGCGTTACCTTTTTATTGTAATAAAGATTTTTATGTAAACCTATTTAAATAATCAATTTAAACATTATCCAACCTGGTGAAAAAATGTGTAGAGTTTTAAAACATGTAATCTTCAATAAATGTAATAGTCGTTATTTTATTAGAAGAAAGGCTTATGCTTAAATTTTGATGAAATTATCCTTAAATTGCATTTCATGAATAGGTTACGGAATAATAAAATGTATCCATATTAAAAAACCCTGTAAAAGTCATTCTGGGTATACATCCAGATTTAGGTGACTGCAAGGTACACGATTATTTGTTACAAGACACTTTAAACGAATGTCTCAGTGACGAAGTTGTTAATATTTATCTCAAAATATTAGTAAACAGTAAAGAAAAAGTATGATTAATTAATGTACTTTATAATAAAATTATTGTACTAAAAAACAATAACGCATTTTTTTTTTTAAATTTGTCTTTATTTAAATAAAATTTTAATTTTAAATATAAAACAATATATTGAATGCCATTCCATTTATTGATGCTTTGAAGAATCGAGTCGAAGTACTGTAGCCAGCTGGGCTACGCTCACTGGATGAATTGCAAATTAAAACTGATTTAATACAAAGACGGCATAAGGTATTCAAAAACTTTTATCTAAAAAAAATTAATGATTTATTAATTTAATTATAGAGTATTTCACACACACACACACACACACACACACACACACACACACACACACACACACACACACACACACACACACACACACACACACACACAAATATATATATATATATATATATATATATATATACATATATATATATATATATATATATATATATATATATATATATACATATATATATATATGTATATATATATATATATATATATATATATATATATATATATATACATATATATATATATATATGTATACATATATATATATATATATATATATATATATATATATATATATATATATATATATATATATATATATATATATATATATATATATATATATATATATATATGTATATATACATATATACATATCTTCATAGAAGGAGCTCTTTAAACAAGATATGCTAATATGCTGTATGGTGGAAAAATGCAGTGTGTAAAATAGTATAATTGTTTTTTGAAAAAGTTTATTTCTCTAAGTACAAAAAGTTTAACTTTCAGTGAAAGGTTAGGTTCCCCATTTTTTTACAGGGAACCTAACTTTGAACCTGATTTTGAAACTCACTTGTGTTTTAGATAATCAAACCAGGTAATAAAACAATTCACTCTATGGATCCTATGGGAGAACAGATAAATTCCATCAAAAAAGAAGAAGTGAAATGGAAGTATGATATTATTATTAGATATTCCTATGTCAAAATTTGTATTTACATCTTTTATAATTTTTTACTATTATACAGTAGTTGTTACTTACAACAAAGATATGGTGTTTCAGAAAAGTTTGAAATATTAACATTACCACATGCCATACAAGCTGAAGGTATAACATTTGGAGTATTCTGCCTTAAAATAACTTTAAGAGTCTTAACTGTAATGGATATATATATATATATATATATATATATATATATATATATATATATATATATATATATATATATATATATATATATATATATATATATATAAGCTTACATATTTTAGTTTGCTGAAAGTTATACAAATGGAGAAGTATTGGTGCGTTTCTTTCCACATGTAGAAGTTAATGCATATAGAAAGAGAGATAAAGGAGGTTTGTGAGATTATTTAGAGAACTGAAAATGTTTATACTACTTCAATGTTATCTTGATATCTCTAAAAAAGATGATATCTCTAAAAAAGACAAAAAAAAAAAGATGAAAAATTAAATCAATAGGTCAGAAAAGTTAGCAGAATAGTTTGAGTCGCATTTGTGGAAGCGAAATTGGTCAAAAAACTAGAAAAAATCAAAAAAAAGTTAAATGGGTAATAAAATATATTTTAATTGTTTTTTTGGATATATAAAGTGTAATAAAATATAATTTTTTTTGGGTATATGATGGGTAATAAAATATATTTTAATTATTTCAAATAGAATAAAATACTTACTTTAAATATTCAAATATAAAAATGTACATTAAATATTTATTTTTAGATCAAATGTGATATTTGCATCCAAATCGATGGTACCGTATAAGATGCATTGTTTTTAAAAATGAAACTTTATTTTGTTGTGAACATATTTATATATAAATGTAATAATAAATAAAACTTTAAAAATTGCAGTCATTTCTTTTTCTTCAAAATTTTGTTATAAATTGAACCAATTTAAATGTTTATGCGCTTACAGATAAAAACACAAAAAGGTGAAATTTTTTTCTCCCTATTTTTAGTGACTTCTTGTATTGTTATAATACTTTAAATTGTCGGAAGCCTTCATAATTCTGCCAATTCATATGTCGCCATACATATTATTTTGTGTAAATCATTGGCATACATATTCGGCATATTTTACATATTTCGGCATATTTTACATTCGGCATAGATTACATGTCGGCATACATATTATTTTGTGTAAATTTATATGTCGGCATACATATGAATTGGTTGAACAATAATACATTTTTAACTTGTTAGCTCAATTAAATCTGAAAAAAAAAAATTAAAAAAGACTGTTTGAGTAATCTCTGCACATTTTGCAAATAACAGCTAAAATTCTAAATTAAAATATCAAATCTCCCTATGCAGGCTTCTAAAATATTCCCCAATATCACATCCCCCCTATGTATATCTTTAAAATATTACATCCCCTAAGTAATTCATAAAATTTTTTAAATGAGTAGTAAATGCTATCTTGAATATCACATTCATCACTTGCAAATTATGTTTGTACCACAAAAAGAAACTAAAATTCTTACTTAAAATATCACATCCCCCCTATGTATACTTCTAAAATATTAGATCCCCCTAAGTACTTTTTTACAATATTTCAAGCAATTCATATTTGGTATTTAAAATATCACATCTACCCTGTGGAATCTCTGCATATGTCACAAAAAGAAACTGAAATTCTTACTTAAAACATTAAATCCCCTCTATGTTTACCTTTAAAATATTACATTCCCCTAAGTAATTCATACAATATTTCAAACAATTAATATTTGCTATTTAAAATATCACATCCCCTCTATGTTTACCTTTAAAATATTAGGTCCCCCTAAGTAATTCATACAATATTTCAATTGATTAGTATTTGATACCTAGAATATCACATCCCCCTGTAGACTCTATGTATATGTCACAAAAAGAAACTGAACTTCTTACTTAAAATATCACATCCCCCCTACATATACTTCTAAAATATTATATCCCCTAAAGTAATTCGTACAATATTTCAAACGATTGCTATTTGGTACCAAGAATATCACATCCATCACTCGTAAGTTCTGTATGTACCACAAAAAGAAACTGAAGTTCTTACTTAAAATATCACATCCCCCCTATGTATACTTTTAAAATATTACATCCCCCTAAGTAATTCATAAAATATTTCAATTGATTAGTATTTGATACCTAGAATATCACATCCCCCTGTAGATTCTATGTATATGTCACAAAAAGAAACTGAAATTCTTACTTAAAATATCACATCCCCTCTATGTTTACCTTTAAAATATTACATCCCCCTAAGTAATTCATACAATATTTCAAACGATTAGTATTTGGTATCTAGAATATCACATCCCCTCGGTTTATTCACTGTATATGTCACAAAAAGAAACTGAAATTCTTACTTAAAATATAACATCCCCCCGATGTCTACTTCTAAAATATTACATCCCCCTAAGTAGTTTATAAAGTATTTTAAACAATTAGTATTTGTAATATAGAATATAACATCCACCACTTGTTATTTCTGTATATGTCACAAAAAGAAACTAGAATTCTTGCTCAAAATATCACATCCCCCCTATGCAGGCTTCTAAAATATTGCAAACGATTGTTATTTTTATTACATAAAGTATCCCTAATGTGTAATCTTCTTCTACGCTATTGTCTCACAATACATTACGATCAAAATATTATAAATAAGAATTTAAAATATATTACCATTTTATGCTAACTTCATTTATAGTATATTACAAAAAAAAAAAAAATATATATATATATATATATATATATATATATATATATATATATATATATACAGGGCCTTCGAAAAGAGGGGGGGGACAAATGGGGCAAATTGACCCCGGCGCCAACCTTGAAGGGGCGCCGGACAACTCGTTGGTTTTTTTTTGTTTTTTTTTACAATAAATAGAAAACATTTTAATGATTGACAATTTAAAATCTGCTTAGATTTTGTATTTGAGGTTGAAACTTTAGTATTCGGAATAAAAATGCACAAAACTTTAATTTTCTGTTATTATAATTAATTTTAAACTATTTTTTATGAAAAAAATAGGATTTAGTTGTAGTTGTACACGAAACCGGGCGTATTCCGTAAGCCTATGAACAGTTAGCTATGCAAGCTCGTGCTTGATTGTACGGAAGATGAAGTTATAATAGTAGGTAATCAAATATCGGTATGAAGTAGTTAACACTGATAGCGCAGACAATTTGTTAGGTAGTACGCTCCACGGGTGAGCAACGCGGACGTTGAAGAAGTTGAAGTGAACGAGACATTTCACTATAAAAAGCGCTACTTTTTCCGGTCAGTTATCAGTATTTGAGTTTTTGCATCAAGTTTAGAGTAGACTGAATACCTACTTTAGGCCCAATAAAAAAAAAATAGTTTTTTCCTCAAATCGTTGGTGAAAATGGGGAAATTTCAATTCGATGCGTTGGTGAAACTTGCTGAAAAGAGGCTTCTGGTTAACGGTTAGGATAAGTGTTTATGACGGTTAAATAAGTATTTAGTTAAACAAGTTTGATTGATAAATAATGAGTTTTATTTTGTTTTATAGTTGATAATTAAAAGTTAAATAAGTTGGTTAATAATTTAAAAAAGATTTTGAAAGTTTTATATATATTTTCTAGATATTGGTAGCGCGCTTGCCTCAGAAGCATGAGATTAGTGGTTCAAAGACATCTCTGAGCAAGTTTTGCGAGATTGGTTAGGAATGAGGTGTTCAGTAATAAGACCGTAAGGACTTTTTGAGACACTTTAAAAACATTTAAAAAAATTAGAATTTTTGTTTTCAATTGTTATTTTTGCGGTTGCTAAGTTAGGAAAAAAAACAAGCAAATATTTTGTTTACAACGGAGTGTCCCTTGGGATGTAACGGTCTATCGCTGACGTATTTTAACCCTTTGAGCACGGGGAGCCACGATCGTGGCTTTACCGTCAGAGTACGTAGAGCCACGATCGTGGCTTTATAAGTGTTCTTTAGAGTAAAGATTTTTTTTACAAAATTACCGCTGTTCATAAATTAAAAATAATACCATTGAATTGAGCACATTTTTTTCTGTATTTTGGTATATTGTTTGTGCATATTTTGCGTGACAGCGAAGTAAGTTTTATAGAAAAAGAAAGCTGTACAAGCGAATAAAATTTAAGTAGCAGCAATGATGGATGAAGGCAAAATTATTTTTATCAAATAATTGTATACAATATTATTTAATTCAAATATATCACCAAATATAAGCATTTGAAGTTTTTATTTTAATGTAGACTTTTTAATGAAGGTTTTGATAGTGATGCTGGCGTTGATTATGTTTTAGATTTGTCGCTCCCTGTTGTATGCTTTTCTAATTATCACACATAATTTTCAATTATGTTGGATGCTTTTCTAATTATTAAATAGCAGTTATGAATAAAATACATTAAATCCATTTAGAAACTACAAAAAATAAACTAAAATTCAAAATAGTTGTTTTTGATTTTTTTTTTTTTTTACGTTGAATTTCTCCGTACGACGGTTAAATTTTATCTCGCGCTCAAAGGGTATTGTATTGAAAAGAACAAATTTGCTTGAAATAAAAATATTTTAAACTGTGTCTTCAACGATAAAAAATTAGTCAATAGTTTTTAAACGAAAGAAAACAAATACACAAAAAGCAGTGGCTGTTGCAAACACTCTAACACCAAAACCGTAAGTAAAATACAATTATATTATGTTCTTATATAACGATAGTTCTATAAAAAAAACATATTTTTTTTATAGAACTATTGGTTCTATAAAAAAAAAAAAAAAGGTTTTTTCGAGTAAAATTTCCAATCGAAGAAGCAAAAAATAAATAGACTTTAGAAGATATGGGATTTATAACAATAATGCAGACCAAAGAAAATGCCTCTTTTCCAGTAAGTAAACTGTTTTTGTATCATTTTTTTTCTTATATTGTAATCTTTGTTGTTATAACTAACTTTTTTCCTTAAGGATCTCTCTTATAATGACTCCCAGTTAGTCTATGAGTGCCAAAAGGAACCAATTAGCTCTCCTCCTCTTTTAAGATCACCTGCTGCACTTAAAATGTGTAATTTGCAGGGCTGTGGATCAGTGGGGATCTCAAACAATTCACCTGAAGCTGACTTGAATGAATTTCAAAATGACTCATTAGAGTCAGAAAGAGGAACCTTATCCAACAGGGAAGAATGTAATGCTCAACCTGATTCGGTAACAATTAATGCTGACCCCTCTTTGTGGCCAGTTGTTTTATGTCAAAAAGATCGAGATGTAATCATTTTAAAGGGACCCCCTACAGATTTCCTTGCTCACTCTTAGGCACGAAAGCAGCATTCAAATGCGGGGAATCGTCCCTTCTTTGTTGGAACGGAGGAGCTAGAGATCAATGGAGGAAAATCATAGATTGTGTGAAGCAGCATCAATCCAGCTCATTGCACCAAAAGTTCTACATGGATTGGAAAGACGCATACATTTGTCTTACCAGCTCCACTGGTGTAGATTCAGAGCTCCAGAAGCGAATCAATTCTGAAACAGGTAAATGGAGGACAATTCTTCGTGGAATTTTGGATGTGACTCTTTTCTTAGCTTCTAGGAATTTAGCTTTTCTCGGTAACTTATTATAAGGTTCTTTCAATATCAATTTAATTATTTATATAATTATTTTAATAGTTATAACTATTATATACAATTATGTTTGCAGGTGAAACAACACACGTGAATGGGAAAGGAAATGAAAACTTTCTTGCCGGTATGGAGCTTATCGGTCGCCACAACCTCGTCATTGCATCTCACTTGGAAGATGTAAGACGCCATCAACAAGAGGGCTCCAGAATGAGTGCTCATTACCTCTCTTCATCGTCTCAAAATAAGTTCATTAAAGAA